GTCGGGTTTGTCCGGGTGGCCGGTACGGCCGCGGCTGTCGGGGACGCCGCTCTGGCGACGCGCCCAGGTCTATTCTGGCCGTCCTGTCGCCACTGCCGCCGCCACAGACACCGGTACTGACGCCGACACCGGTACTGACGCCGACACCGGTACTGACACCCACCGGCCACTGCCACCCAACTCTTCGGCAGACGCACAGCCACCTCCAATCGAATTCAGTGATGCGTGTATGTATATTCGTTTCAAAGAGATGTCCTTGGATGTTCATCATTTCTTTTCTCTGGGAGTGAGACGGGAAACATAACGCTGCTGAGGTATCGGCCCCTCATGTCCATTGCCATGGATCGCCAAACATCCCAGTTTGCCTTTCTTTTGAGCTGTGACAAATTATATGTGCCACGCAACGCAACTTCCCTCTGCACCGATACTTTGCATTACTTCACGCTTGATTCACACGCTGCTGCCCCGTTCGGCATCAGTAACTGAGGCGGACCGCCTGTGAGATGGACTGTGCCGCCGTACAGACCTGCGCGGCGGTACAGCCTACCCCGCAGGCTAGTCTGCGCTGGCGGCGGAAGACGGCTGCGGCTGTAAGGAATATTGCGCCGCTGAGACTGAGGAGAGGAGAAATGTTGAAAATGTCACGCGGTGAGTTTAAATTTGCTGTGGCTGTGACACCGAAGGCTCGCGGATACGTCTATGAAAATGAAAGTAACAGTGCTTATTCGTGAATCCCATTTTCCAATATAACATTTGCCTGTCTTATTTCAGACTCTCTACTCCTCCCCATCCCGCCAGACCAGGGTCAGCTTGGTGGCAGAGAGCTTCACTCAGAACAGGTGAGCTGCGGAGCCCAGACCGGCAGTGAGTCAGCCAAGGGGTGGACCGGCCTGGGTTTATCTTGGCACTGGCATGTCGCAGTGGCGTGCGCCGGTACCCCGCGGTATGGGACCCAAAGTGGCGGTCACCGCCGTTGCACTGCGGATGCGGCTGTGACTGGAGATATGCATCTTAATAACTTGGAAACGAGCCGGCACAGACAGGCATGGATTTCAATGAACTAATAGATTAATTGATCTCGATGACCTTTGCGTTGCTTTCTAAATAAACATCAGCCTGGACGTTCTGTCCGAAAGTCACCTAATTTTCCGACATTCTTTTTCGTAAACGGCCTAAAAACCTGGACACTGTCAATGAAATGCCACTGTCTCCACAAGGCCTCTATCGCTCTGACTCATGACTATGCCGTTTTTTGCTTCAGGGCCTTCCGCCGGGTGTCTCGTTAAAAATGTGGCCGCCGTTGACACTCGGCGGCGGCGCCCATCCAGCGACCAGGCGACAGGCTGGCTTAGGCGGTCGGCGAGTGTCGGACGATGGTAAAGGAGAAGAGAATGCTGGGCGTGGGCCAGCTGTGAAAAACTCGAGAGGGAGACTGGAGAGCAAACGAGGAAGAAAAGGTTGAGAGGAGCTTGAGCGCATAAATGCACGTTGTCCGTTGTTAGAACCGCGCCGTGCTTGTGGTCTGAATTTTTCGTGGAGTGTTGGGTGTATGTGTGCGGGGGGGGGGGAGTTGAAGGAACCTTTGGGTCGTTTTTAATTTGAAGGATTCTCCTACTCGATGTTCGTTTCTTTGTTTTCAGATTCCTGCATCGGTTCGCCGTATTATATAACGCATTGAGCAATGAGCGTACTCATCAGTGGATATATCATCGCCTGAGAAGCCATAAGTTCACGTTACCTACTGATAACTTCTGATTGATGACTGAAAAAGCGGACCGAAATTTGAATGTTGATAAGCCAAACAAGTGTCGTTGTTGTGAAATTTACATTGGTACGAGGCGGAAGAACGTAATATTGAGGGAGGGAACAATGCGGACTGCGGATGACAGCTGATCCCTATTCCCTTGTAACTCGATAGTATCCCTGAAAGTTCGGAAAACCAGCATTACACTATAATAATCAGTTAACTCGGTGACTGAGCCAGACGCCATTCACTAACACCTTGTGCCTAATGACACCTCTGATAACGTCCCTTACAGCACCCCTGGCGTCCCACCACCTCGCGGATCCCCTCCCGGGGATATAGGTCGCAGGGGCGTAGGCAGGGGGGGGGCCACTGGGCCATGGCCCCCCCCTTGGGCGCCGAAGGCGCCCTTTGCGATTGGAGGGCGCCGAAGGCGCCCTCCAATCGCAAATGCAATTGTGATATAATCGAATCGAAAAACAATCGCGACTGGAGGGCGCCCTCCAATCGCGAATGTGTTTACAGGGAAAATACGGATGGAGGGCGCCCTCGGAGGACGCCCATTCCAAATACGCCCCCCAAATACGGTTGGAGGGCTCCCTCGGGCGCCCTCCAACCACATTTGTAGGCTGTAGCTCTCTAAGCGTAACGGTGGTCGCCTATGTAAGCCGCTGTCCCGTAAATAAGCGCCCTCTCACCCGAAGGCGCCCTCCTGTAGGTCGCCACCCTGCTACATATTGCCGCCCTTCTGCTGATCGGCGTCCTCATAATTATTGGCGCTCTCCTACCTATTGCGCCCTCATGTGAAATTTTCAAGGCCGCCTTTCTCCTTTTTGGCACCCTATTGTTCAGTGCCGCCCTCCTACCTATTGGTTCCCTAGTCCTTCCTGTTGAATGTTAATCGGGGCCCTTCTCTTATTGGCGCCCTCGTGTTGATCGCCGCCCTCCTTACCACTGGCACCCTCCTGTTGATCACCGCCCTCCTATCCACTGGTACCTTCCTGTTGACCAGCGCCCTCCGCACAGACGCCCTCCTGTTCGTGTCATCCTCTTGAGCAAAGGCGCCCTCCTCACCATTGCCACCCCCATTTTAATCGTCACCCTTCCGCTCATTAACGACTTCCAGTTGATGACCGCCCTCCCACCTATTGGCGACCTCTTGTTGATCGCCACCCTCCTATTGGTGCTCTCCTGTTCCTCGCCACCCTCTTACCTGGTGGCGCCCTCCTGTTGATTGTTGATCGGGGCCCTCCTACCTATTGGTGCCCTCCTGTTGATCGCTGCCCTTCTATCCATTGGCGCCCTCCTGCTGCTCGCCAACTTCCTACCTATCGGTGCCCTACTATCGAAACTCGGGATGTTGATCGGGGCTCTCCTACCTATTAGCGCCCTCCTGTGGATCGCAGCCCTTCTACCTATTGGCAACATCCGTTGATCGCTGCCCTCTTATCATTTATTTACTCCTTTGGCATGTTTTTCAACTTAGTCGTTCTATTGCACATAGTTGATGTCTTGCCTGTGAAAACTGCCACAAATGAACGTGCATTCAGCACAATGAATGAAGTACCTATACCTACCAAAACTATCTACGCTCTACGATGCATAAAACACGTCTTTGGTCTTAACGGATTGATCCTACTTTACGTGCATCATGGCATCTATATGGATTACGATTAAGTATTGTCAACAGGTTCGGCCGCAACAGCAGGCATCTGAAGTTTCGGTGATTGAAACTGGTTATGTGGGTACACTGTATGCATCTGTGAAAAGGCTATGAAGGCTGGTCTGAGGTAATTTGGATGATGTTTACGCATCTCGCGCTCCGGTATCAATCCGATACGGTGATCTGGTGCGTAGATATGCCACCGCCAATAAACTTTTATACATCGACACCCATGAGCCAAGCTTTCTATACAGTTTGTGTGGCAGCGGCCCGACCAAACCTTAGGTATTTTTTACACCTTCAAATTTGGTAAAAGAGCGAGAGGAGCTTTGAACGGTGATCGTATAAAAGGCGTGCCTAAAAAGCGGAGGAAAAGGTTGTTTTCAAAAATTTCGCGCGCCTTCGGCGCAGCATTTCAAGAACACTTGACCTTTTGTGACCTGGAGTATAAAGAATACACACGATGCAAAATCAATACAGCACGACCTATACGAGGTTACGCAAAAAAAAAACTGGTGGCATGGTAAAAAACGCCTCCCAACCAACCCCCCCCCCCCCCCCACCCCGCTGAGCGATTTTTTATCTCGCGACCGTATGGCGCCCTCCTTGGGTGAGGTGGCGCCCTCCAAACCCTTGGCCCCCCCCTTCGCGATTTTCTAAATACGCCGCTGATAGGTCGTCCCGTCCCTGGCCGCCGCCCCGTCGGTCCCGTCGCGTCGAGACCGACGGGCCGGCCCGCCACCCGAGACCGGAATACACCGGGCGCACCGCCGGCCAAGGTATGTTGGCACCGGTCCGGCCCGGCGGACGGCGGGGGGGGGGCGGAGTCAGCTGGTGACAGGAGGCCGACCGGAGCCAGTCTGCTCGTGTCTCACCGTCTCCGATTGTCTCACCGTCTCCCGCATCTCCGGATTCCATCTGTCCTCCCGTCTGTCTCTCCGTCTCCCTCATCCCCGGCTTTCTTCCAAGCGGGAGATGATTCCTCTATCCCTATCCTCCCGTCTCCACGCATTCTTCGTCTTCGGCTTTCTCCATATCTTCCTGTGTCCCCTGTCTAGCGTCTATGGCAACTCCCTATCTTTTTACGTCCCTCAGTACCTATCTATCATATCTTTCTGTTCCTGCCATACCCGTGCGTCTGCAGTATTCAGTATCTGACCACCATCCCATCTCCCTTGCACATTCCACGAATATCTCTATCACTCCCCATTTCCCTGTTTGTGTTCCTTCCCCGTGTCCGTATCGGTTATGTAGGTACATACATTCTTCCTCAGTCTCCAATTATCTCCACATCACCTTCCCGGCTTTCTACTTTCTCCCATGCCCAGCAGAGGAAGGGTCCATTTAGAGCCCTCTCTCATCACATCTCCTCCGCTGCCTCACGAGTCTCCATAGTCAGGTATCTCAGTTTTTCACCTCCCATGTTTCAGTCGAACGTGCCCCATGGCGGTCCCGCCGTCCCACCTTGCATCTCCCAGTTTTTGACTACTCACGCCAATGATTCATTTCCCGGCCAAGTCTAAGAAAACTCAAGGTTTTCACATTCAGTGCTTTCAAAAGACGACCCAGAACACCCAAAGGCCAAACAGCGCAGAAAAGACGAGGTTTGTATTAGAAAACAAGAGCGTGCTCGAAGACACTTCATGACCCCCATTTCCTCTTCTTACACAGTGTAAGCCATTCATACGTCCTTGTTTACTCTCATCTACATCACATACACCTCACTACATAGTGCATCCGCACAATGTAACAATGCTGAAAAGCATCGCTATTTGTGATAATGGCGCACATTAGAAACAAACACTTCTTTTAAGACGAACGACAATGTTGTCTGAAGAAACAGAACGCAAGGCACACATTGTTGGTCACGAATGAGGACGAATATGCATGCATTTTTTCGATTCACAAAACCACCGGAGTTTTAAGCAATAGTTGAATGGCCGCTCACGTTATAAATCGAACATCGTACACGTCCTGTCCACAATTCCACATCATGTGTGACTTCAAGTTACGTAACGCCCAGTATGAGGAGACAGTTTTTATGAGGACACAGTTAACACATCCGCAACCATGCGTCGCACAATATGAAGCACACAAAGTGAAATTCTCCATACTACAGGGTAAGTGGTATGGCCAACCTCGCTTCAAACCACGGTATGCACAGTATGACCTTATGAGAGGCAGTACGGTATGTAAAGTAAGGCCGCTCGAGAGTCAGCCAAGGAACGCTACGGTTGGTTCCAATTCAGGTGACACGACGGGTGAAAATGGTGTGTTGTCTGTCTCTCTTAGAATTGGCTCGACTTTTCGTCCTGATTCTGAGAGGACCTCTCAGTCTGACGACCTCAGCGATACATTCATGTCTGACTAAGGGAATAGTCTGAACATCTATGCTCGAGTTTGGTTTTCTATCGCCACCTAAAGCAGCAAGTAATGAAACTAACGATCGATTCCAAATGGTGCCCAATACCCATTTATTTCAAGTCCGGTAAAGCAGATAGCTTTATGTTACTTGACCAAGTGAGCTGTTTTCCAACACTCAGTTCGCAATTCAACTATAGAAGCGAAATGTTTACAAGTGTTGCGCATATTTTCTTCAGAGCCATCGTCTAAGCTGGCGTGGCTGACCTTCCTGCTCTCAGAACTCCTTGGTCCCAGTCAAATGCACGATGATTCGACCACAACAAACCATCACAACCATAACATTCTGAAGTGTTGTCGCCGATGATAGGGTCACTGAAGTCTCGCTAATGAAGTTATGAACACCATGACTCATACACCACCACAACCGTCATTGGGAGTGCAGCTCCCGTCACAATCATGCCGTGATCTTCTTCCACACAAAAGTGCATTTTCGGATAGTTCAGAACTCAGAAGTCAACATAACTCGCCACTCACCGACCTAACGACTCTTCAGTGCGTGATTCATGTGCAGTAGACCTGACCACTGATGGACCATCATTGTAGGTGACGCCACTGGCGCACATTATAAGTGTCGCGGTAGTCGAGCGGCCCAGAGGAAGTGGCAGTATCTCTGGCTGTTTCTGAGGCCCGGGACCGGTCCGTGCCATCTCATACTACGCCCGGCACAGCGGCACTGGCCTCACCTGTCAATACACAGACAGAGGGGGCAGTCAGAAGAGCTACACGATGTCACCGGGCTAGTTTGGACACACTGAACGCCAGGGTAGCAAGGTTAGCGGGTGGCCCATCACTGGGAAAAGTTATCACTGCTAAAGCCTGATCACTGAGCTTGGAGGCTGAGACTCCGGATCATAACGAAGACAAGACACAGTCAAGAGATTCAGATATCTTGAAAATACGATATAAAACCAATGACACCATTGTCATTGTTGAATTGTGGCGTCAAATATGACACGAAGCATGATCCATGTTTTGATGAAATGACCCGACCCGACCAATAACGTTCGAATCATGGTTCACAAATGATTGAAACTACAGTTTGATGATCGTGTCCACACCCGTAGCACGTCGATTATCCGCCCCATGATACATAGTAGAAAAGGAAGCACCCACCCATTCATCCTCCAACCCACATCTCTCATCCCCGTCCAAACTCACGTCTCCTCGAGCCATAGTCGATGATCTCGGAGAGACACCGTCCAAACTCCCTCAGCACCCTCTGCTGTCCCTCCGCCGTATCCCCAGCCAGCGCCGCCTCCGTCATCAGACACGACAGCGTCGCGCTGATGACGTCCTGCGTCACCCGCACGGCGGCCGGAGCTTTCTCGGTGACGGGGAAGGTGGCCACTTTGAGGCCGCCCGTGCGCCGCGGGCCGCGGCCCGAGGAGGGGCCCGCTTCGGTGGGGAGGAGGGATAGGGAGTCCTCAAGCGCGGATACTCCCGATCCTGTGGGGAGAGAGGGGGGTAAGTTTGGGGAGGAGTGGGGGTTGGTCTGGGGGAGTCAGACTACGTGAGATAAAATGAGTTAGTTTGGGGACAGAGCAAAGGAATTTGAAGCTAGTACGGGAGATCAAGTAACGGGACTCAGTCTGGGAGAGGGAGGGAGGGTAAGTCCACATTTCATATCAATGTGGTCACTCGCTGTGTAAGTGCCTCTGATGGATTCAACAAACGAAAAAAAAAAACTCCAAAGCTTTCAGTCTGATTCAACGCATCAGTCAGCGTCACAAACCTTTGGCATTTATATGTGATAGCCTCAAAATCAGCAGTGCTATCTCACATCCACAGATAACAGTAGTACATAACAGTAGTACATCTCATCTTCATCAAAGCTATTAAAGGGACCCTCCCACCTTAACATTAGATTTGAGTTGAGATAGCCAAAATGGGGTCCCTGGCTCACAATTACCGGTTTCGGCACTCACAACATCGAGAAATGCCTTAAATCGGAAATATTGAATTTCAAAATTGCAGCATTTTGATTCAGAGGGGCTAATGCTCAGGAATACCCCTCTGAATGTGTGACGTCAGCGCAGATATCTAACGATTTTTAAATGTTTGACTAAAACGTTTTGTAGCACGCGGTGGTAGGTATATGCTATTTGCGCGCAACATCTGCCGCAAACGCCGCACTTCTAAAATAAAGTCGCTAGAAACAGCGGAGATCACAAAAAGTAAACAAAAGTAAAAGTCTAATATCTTGAAAACCGGTGAATATTTTTCGGTGAAATTTGGTAGATATTCGTTTTCGCTCTTTCTGAACCGAGCGACATCACTTTCATGCCAATTCATAAACTTTTTTGAAGGTGGGAGGGTCCCTTTAAACAATCCCCAATTCAGCACAGTAGCTACACCAGACCTGCCCTGTGACCCGCCGTCTGTCCCGTGACCCCTATAACTGACCTGCGCCGGGCCGCGGGGGACGAGTGTTGGCCGACTCGTAGTTCTTACAGCCCATGCATTTACACTGGGTTGAACAGAAGATCTTGGCCTGTTGGGACAGACAGAGGCGAATACGCGTCAGTGCCCAGTGGTATGACAATTTTTATGATGTAAGAACATGGGTGGCAGAGATCACTTGATGACATATCAATAAATATGCGACATCAATCGAATAACTGAACGTGAAATGAAGTGAGCGATAAGGCAGATGCGACAAGCCGAATCCGAAAACAAAAAGAATTTAAATTAAGTGTGCAGTAATTACGAACCAATCGACATCAAGGATATTCCTAGATATTTTAGATATTCTTTCGATATATGAGTTGGCTGGCCACCCATCTCATGCTATCGTGAGTCGTGAACACTACGGCCATGACGTCACCCACCTCATAGCACTCGCAGTAGTTCTTCAGACACCCGCTCTTCTTACAGTTGCACCCCTTCTGGTGTTTACGGGTCTCATTATCCGATTTGCCGATTTTCGGTTTGAACGCGAACGGGTTTCTGTCGAGACAGGCTCGGATGGCCCGCTGCCGCTCCTCCTCTCGGTCCAGCGAGTTGAAGCAGTTGGTGCAGTTGCAGTTGTTGCAGAACTCGCCCGAGGCGAAACAGTCGCAGTACCTGACGCCGAGAGGAATTGGGATGTCAGGGCGCAATACAGGTTCACGAACAGAACAAGAGAGATAGCTGACAGGCGGATGTCCTAATAAGAATGGTTTCTAGATGAAAAACGGTGAGGACAGGAACAAAAACTGATCTGAAGCGGATGGATCAAACTTAATATTGCATGGTTTACGCCCCCTCCCCCTCCCTTAGTCATGCCGTTTCGCTCACAGTTTGAGGCACTGGCTCTTGGTGCAGTTGCAGGGCTTGCGTGGACGGATCTGCACATCGCTACCGCGGGCGGCGGCTCGAGCCATGTGCGTCGAAGGCGGCTTCTGTCAGGGGACAGGCGCGCAGTCGCACCGGCGAGACGGAGTCAGAGCAGGGGAGCTCAACAGAGCGGGTACGTATAGACAATTTTTGGACAACTACGCTAATTGAGCGGTACCTATATGTAGTGGTGGATAATTGTGCCGAGTTGGGGTAGCACGAGCTTTCCCAATGCCACGCCGGCTTGGCTTTGAAGCCGCGACAAACGGCGAAGGTCAAGGTCACCGCTAGGGCGGCGGCGGATTTGCTGCCCCCGTGCTACCTCAACTCGGCACAATTGTCCAGCCCTGCCTATATGAATATAAATAGGTACTAGAAGTCAAATAGATTACACGAAATCCTAGAAATGGCAGGAATAGATAGAGTATTAATAGTTAAAAATACAATAAGCAATCAGAGGATAAGCTATGATGAGCACTGAGCAGTGTAGATCCTGGCTAAAACTGTAGGCTGACCAGATTCTCTCCCACAACCCCAGCCACTCTCACTAACCTATCCCGCCCCTCTCATCCCCTCCCTTACCGGCACTCTGGTGGGTGGCGCGGGTCTGTTCAGCCTCGCCGGTGTGTGCATCATGGGCCTAGGTCTGCTGTACTCCGCGCCCGTTATCATCTGCTCTATTGTTCCGCCCTGAGCGGAGGACCCCACTACCGGTGCCGCAGGTAGCAGCAGACGCTGGGTCGGAGGGGGAGGCGCTATACGACCTCCCGGCGCGATGGCGATCTTCACAGAGCTGCCGGCCGTGGCGGTCGGAGGAGCCGAGAAGACGGGCTGGTTGGCGGACGAGCCGACCACGCGCACAAACTGCACGGGCTGCGGTACGGAGATGGAGTGTCACACGGGCGTCGTGGTGAGCGCGTTCGTATAAACATTGCAGACAGAAGTGTGGCGGTATCGTCGGTTGGTCACTGGAAAATAAATGACATTTATACAATTAAATACAGTCGTTTATAATGAAAAAACTATTAAACAATAAAACATTGAAGAAAAGGCTCACTAGCCCACAACACAGCCCGCTCATGATAATGTCGCCTCTTCCCTCTCTCACACACTCACCTGTGACTGACTGCGTCCCACTGCCTGCGGCAGGCCCGACTGGGTGAGAACTCTGAACGGGGCCTGAGGCGGCGCTCCCGCCGCTGCCGCCGCTGCCAGGCCGCCCTGCTGAGAGGGAAGGTTGAAAGGTTAGATATGGGACTGTGACTTCATTATGTTGGTCATTTGAAACACCATGCCCCCTCCCCACTTCCCCACAAGCAGACACACACACACAGACAACGGTAATCACTCGCACATGAAATGAAAAGTTGCAAGACTAGCCTCTGCTAAAAGTTAGGCGGTCGCATCTTGGTTTGGTAATGCAACGGTCATAACAGTAAATACAGCTACAAATCGTTTGGAAATTCAATAGACATACATACAACTCCTCAAATTAGCACGGTCAAACAGTCATGACAAGCCGGGTGAGAAACATTTAATGAGCATTTGATAAGACCACCACAGGTAAAAGCATGTTCATTTATTTGCTTACCTTGGACTGCTGACCGGGCGACGATCGCACCACGATCCGCTTTGTGGGGCTGCCTATCTGTTTGACACCCTCTAATGTCGTCAGCTGAGAAAAAGATAGACGAAACACATGGATTAATGAGAGCAGTGAACATGTGTACCTTCTGTGTTCGAACAGACGTGTAAACTGAATCCCATTGTGTGTTAGGAATGGCATGCAGTATATATATCTATGAAGCTCCAATGCCTTGGCTATGGGTCTAAGGACGTACTAAGACTCGAATGAGGAAATCAATTCAAAGGGTATGTTTGTGAAAGACAAGAATTAAAGCTGACATGTCCAGCTAGCTCTTGTATTGTATTGTATTGTATTGTATTGTACTGTATTACCATCATGGACAATCCACACGTGTCGCGGTGATTACTGCCCATCAGTTTTGTGCACACGCCCAAAGGTATGATGTAGCAAAACATTCGCGTCAGACAGTCGCCGCCCCCATTCCACGCACCTTCTTGGGACTGAAGATGCCCAGTCGCTGCGCCTCAGCCGAAGTCAGTGTGATGGTGTTGGAGGCCCCCAGCTGCAGCGGAGGTGGCGCGGCGACACGAACCGTGGCCGTGGAGCCCATCATACGGACCGGCGCGGAGGTGGACACCGCCTGCTGGGAGCCGGGAGAGAGAGGGTTGGGGGTAAAAGGGTAGATAGGTAGGGTTACTTCAGCACAATGGATACATGATGAGCCGACAGGGATAAGTAATGGGTAGATACTAGATAGGGGTTACATAGGGGTAGGGGTAGGGGTAGAGCACATCGGAAGCATAAGCGGAGGCCGTAGGCAAAGGTGTAGGTAATGGGGGTGATAGGGGTAGGGTTAGTTCAGCACAGTGAATGCAGGATAATATGGCTGTTGAGGCGTTCCTAAGTCCTTATTAATAGGGATGGGGCGAGGATAGATGGTACAGTACGCTGGATGGATGCATGTTGTTAACGATGTCTGCACATTGCTAAATACAGACAAACGAGCAGTTTTGTCAGCAGTTGGTTGATATTCACGCTCAGTGACCAAAGTATTCACAATATTCTGCGAGTCTTAAGAATCAGATGACAAACATCGCACTAGAATCAACACATATTCTCTTCCAAACACACAAAAGTACAGACACTGGCCTCTCCCTCTCAACCCCCCGCTCCCAGCCCACCGGGATAGAGCACTCTCCCCCTCACACATACACAGCACACTGCCCCTCCCCAAAGCATCACTTCCCCTCCGGCCTCCCCCAAAATCCCCCTTCTCACTCACCTGACCGGGCGATATGAGATACTTGGTCAGGCTGCCCGGCGCCGTTCCGGCCGCCCGACGTCCCATCACCGCCGTCACCCGGCTGGCGGCGGCACGAGCTCCCTGTCCGGGAGCCAGGCTGGAGACACTGATATTGCCCAACTGGGTGACACCTCCCGGCCCGGCGCCAGGAGAGTTGCCGCTCTGCAGCACGACAAACGAGCCTGGGGAAAGAGAGTGTTGGTTCATGTAGGTACCATGCAGTGCACAAGTACAACAAAGGATCCAAATGTTTCAGAGTTTATCCTCAGTTTCCCAACCGGGCTAAAGGGGTCAAGCTCAAGACCTACGTAATAAGCTCCGCTTAGCGCGGGCTCCGGCTCTGTCAAGCAGTTCATTCAAACATTACAGATATAATTGTTTTTAAAAAATGGTCAGAACTGGAAGAGACTCAGCTTGTTGGATCTAGACAGTGCAGGGCCTTCCTACTAATTCTGAGTGTTCCGATTTCATGTAGTCAGAATGAATGGTGTGCAATGGCCCTTCAACCAAGGTAGTTATTCGAGTAGTGTCCTGAGCTGTAGTGCCAGCAACTAGCATGGCACTACTTCAGATAATGCTGAAATATAGAAGGCCAATACACACTAGCCAAAAGCAATAGTAAAAAGCAGTTTGGATTGAACAGAGAGGGCACAGGGTTTACAGACCATGGAAGAACTAAGGTTGAGCATCCTACCAAGTTATCACATCTTTGTAACTGCAGATAATTTTATTTTAGCCAGAACACCTCACACAACTACCCCTTGTTCATAAGTTATGAAGCACTGCTATAAAATAAAGCACTGACCAGATGGGGCTGGTTGTCCCTGCTGGTCGGTGGCTGAAGCAGGCAGCGGATCGGCAGGCTTCCCCAGCATTGGGTCTGAGCTGGTGCTTGTCAGAAGGGTCTCTGGGTCAAAATCCATGGCCTCCATGTTTGCTAAATCTGAAATGGAAAATCTGAAACAATACAGTAAGAAGGTAAGACCCAGGGTATTTGTAACAATAGGTCTGATCATCAATTGTGGTGCAGTTGCTATGAATATGCAATGGCAGAAATTGTAGGTTGTATCATGTGTTTTAGGGCCTAAGTAGGTTGGTAGGTTATAGGTTGATTAGGTAGGTAACATAGGTTGTAGGCTGATATAGGTCGGCAAGTTAGTAGGTTAGTAGGTAAGGTTAGGTCAGGTCAGATTAAGCTTATTTCTTACATTTGTGCCACATGTATTATATAAGGATTCAGGATGACAAATAATGCAGTATTTATAAATAATGCAGCATTGAAAAATATGCAGTACCTACCTAACTATTTATGCTTGAAAAGTGAATCTTATTGTAAATTTTTACCAGAACCAGTAGATATAATTGCAATTTGCAGTTTGCATAAAAATGGGAGTGCAAATGGTTACATAAAAGAGGGCTGTTACACATAAGCAGTCATGGAATTTTAGAATGTTTCTTGAAAAATTTATGCCGATGCTGGGGTTGGCTGGGGTGCTCAAATGTTGCACAGGTCCCGGGGCTATAATATCATCAATAAGAATGTGAAAAAGCTGATAGTAAAACGTCATACGATTCTATCCTTTGCAAAGGAGCAAACGGTACCTTGTATTTTTGAAATACTGACAGAAATTAGCTCGTAATCAAGAAGAAAACCGACCGCGCGCCTCTGTCCACGGGAACAGCGCGCACGAATTTTCGGTTCAATACTGGCGCTGGCGCGGCATTCGAAAACCGCCAAACAGCATATTTTTTATTACAGATGGTATTTATAAGATCTAGAGAAATGCATCAAATATTCGAAGAAAAATGTGACTGTTGAAAATATTTTCCGAACAAAAAACGTCAGGGGGGAAAAATATATTCGTTTTGAATATTAATTCCAAAGGAACATTTATTTCACCCTTTCTCTTTAAAAGAATAAGAAAGAAAAATCCGCGAATATTTGAATAAGTCTAGGGAGCTAGCGACTTTTAAATCTTATCTCACTTTCTGCGACTTTTATTTATTGCCGACGCCACTAAAGTTCTTCTTTCTTTTGTGCCGCCCTTGTAAGCTTGAAGCTTGAAGCGCTGCCCATTGCTTTTATATTTAGAGCTTTTGTTCTGTGGCTTCGTATTTCTTTATTTTCTCAAAATGCTTTCAAGTAAGCTGCTTCGCTTCAGTACGGTGTCTGGTATTGGTCCCCTTCGAAGTCTGTCTGCCTCAGCTCCCTTGAAAGATGCAATCAAAACGGTTACAGTTATTGGAGGTGGCTTGATGGGATCCGGCATTGTGCAGGTTAGTGGATAACCTTTTGAATTTATAAACAAAGAACATGAATTTCTCCTTAGATGGAACGTATGTTATAAGAACTGAGCCAGTTCTTCATCAATTTTAAAGTGACTAGTAAGGACACCACCATTTTTCACTCAATGACGCTCATTCACGTAACATGCTGAGCACTGGTTACGCTGAACCTAGCTGCAAATTAGGCTGTCTTGGCCAAATGCTATTTCCTTTTTGTATGATACTCGGAAGCTTAGAATGTCTTTCAATCGATGGCAGATTTATGGAAGTCACTTCGGTATCGGTAACCCTGGCGTCACCGGTAGCGTTTTCGTTCAAGGTTAAGGTTTCCTGCATTAGGCAGTATTAGGCCACCGTGCCAAGCCATAGCATGCTGTGACGTCACTGGGTAAGAGAACGTACCACGCTATCAGTATCGACTGAGACTCAGATAGACTCAGAACGACTCAGGCAGACTAAAACTGACTCAGGCAGACTCAAACTGACTCAGACCGACTCAACCGACTCAAATAGATTCCGATCGACTCAGATCGACTCAGAACGACCCAAACTGACTCAGACCGACTCAACCGACTCAAATCGATTCCGATCGACTCAGACCGACTCAGAACGACTCAACCGACTCAAATAGATTCCGTTCGATTCCGATCGAATCAGACAGACTCAGAACGACTCAGGCAGACTCAAACTGACTCGACTGACTCAGAACGACTCAAACTGACTCAGACCGACTCAAACTGACTCAGACCGACTCAACCGACTCAAATCGATTCCGATCGACTCAGACCGACTCAAAACGACTCAGGCGGACTCAAACCGACTCAAATCGATTCCGAGCGACTCAGGCAGACTCAGAATGACTCAGACAGACTCAGAATGACTCAGGCAGACTCAAACCGACTCCGGACTCAGGCAGACTTAAACTGACTCGACCGACTCAGAACGACTCAAACTGACTCAGACCGACTTAAACTGACTCAGACCGACTCAAACTGACTCAGACCGACTCATCCGACTCAAATCGATTCTGATCGACTCAGACCGACTCAGAACGACTCAGGCGGACTCAAACCGACTCAAATCGATTCCGAGCGACTCAGGCAGACTCAGAATGACTCAGGCAGATTCAAACAGACTCAGGCAGACTCAAACAGACTAAAATCGATTCCGAGCGACTCAGAAAGACTCAGAACGACTCAGGCAGACTCAAACCGACTCAGGCAGACTCTGGCCGATTCAGATAGACTCAGGCAGACTCAAACCGACTCAGGCAGACTCAGACTGATTCAGCTCGATTCCGAGCGACTCAGAAAGACTCAGAACGACTCAGACAGACTCAGGCGGATTCAAACCGACTCAACCGACTCAAATAGAGTCAGTTTGAGTCTGCTTGAGTCGGTTTGAGTTTGCCTGAGTCGTTCTGAGTCTGTCTGCGTCGATCAGAATCGATTTGAGACGGTTGAGCCGGTCTGAGTCAATTTGAGTGGTTCTGAGTCGGTCTGAGTCGATCGGAATCGATTTGAGTCGGTTAAGTCGGTCTGAGTCAGTTTGAGTCGTTCTGAGTCGGTCTGAGTCGATCGGAATCGATTTGAGTCGGTTGAGTCGGTCTGAGTCAGTTTGAGTCGTTCTGAGTCGGTCGAGTCAGTTTGAGTCTGCCTGAGTCGTTCTGAGTCTGTCTGAGTCGATCGGAATCGATTTGAGTCGGCTGAGTCGGTCTGAGTCAGTTTGAGTCGTTCTGAGTCGGGTCTGAGTCGATCGGAATCGATTTGAGTCGGTTGAGTCGTTCTGAGTCAGTTTGAGTCGTTCTGAGTCGGTCTGAGTCGATTGGAATCTATTTGAGTCGGTTGAGTCGGTCTGAGTTAGTTTGAGTCTGCCTGAGTCGTTCTGAGTCTATCTGAGTCTCAGTCGATACTGATTGTGATAGCGTGGTACGTTCTCTTACCCAGTGACGTCACAGCATGCTTCGGCTTGGCACGGTGGCCTAATACTGCCTAATACAGGAAACCTTAACCTTGAACGAAAACGCTACCGGTGACGCCAGGGTTACCGATACCGTCACTTCTAATTTGACCATTGTTTGTATTCTCGATACCAATGGCTCTCAAAGTAACTGCCATTAAATTTGATAATGTGGATTGCTCATGATTGCTCAATAGATAAGAATACAATACAAGACATTCCTGAAAGGGCTTCCTTATTGCTATTTTAGATCAATTCTTATTTTGCTGTTTCAAAGATTTGAACGAAAATACCTGCTTAAAGAAGGTAGGTATTAATTAGTTATATTGTGATTTAGGAGAGTTCATTCCATTAACAACCATCAATCTTTCTGGTACTTAAATTACTCCCATAGCTTTCCTATTTAGGGGAGAGTGGGGTAAGATGCCCAGGGTGGGAAAGACGCCACACCCCCTCTAGCGGCGAAACAAAGAATCGAACCTGGAAATTTATGTTCTTAGCGTAAAGCGGAAGCCTGCCTTGTTAACTGCACAAAAATTTGCGAAGCTCAGTTGGGCAACGGCTGGCTGGTGATTGCATGTTTTTTATGTGCTGCTTTCAACAAATATTTTGGTGTCAAAACATTGTAAATATCAAAAAAGGTAGATAATTTTTGCGTCCCTTGCTATAGTCGTGATACATTAACATGCGTGTACTGTGTCCCAAACAGTTTTTTTCAGGGTGTAGTTTTATGGCTAACAAATTGTACTGATTTAATGTTACTTCGGTACCTTGGGGTAAGATGCCCCCTGTCCTGATGGGGAAAGACGCCCCCCTAAATCCGTAGGCTGTCCTTCAAGCAGCCCGTCAAATCATTTATTACATACTTGTGATAAGAGACAAAAGCCGATCTGGGACTATTGAGAGTCCAGTACGGTCGGGTGCTCCCCATGCCGGTCTCTCGGCCCACACAGCGACTTTTTGGGCGGCATCTGACTCTGAGAGCCCTCACGACGGCCTCTGTGGGCCCCATTATTGGCTCCAAGGCCCCTCACGACATCCTTTGAGGGCTCCCACGTTGGCTCCACGGGCCGCGCAGGCATCTGAGGTCCCACGATGGGCTCGAGGGCCCTCAAGCATCATGAAGACCTATAAGGGCCCCACAGCGGTCTCCGAACGCCACCACGGAGGCTTGTTTGGCCGCGCTGAACTAAGCTAGCCCTAACGATGACCTCTGAAGCCCCTTACGACTACTTTTGAGGGCCCTTCGATGACGTTTGGTGTCTACTGCAGGTTCGAAGGGACTACTGATTCGTTCAGGCGATTCACGTGCCCATTTATGTCACTTATAGTGCAGGGGGCATCTTACCCAACGCCAGGGGGCGTCTTTCCCACCCTGTGGGGTAAGATGCCCCCTTTCACTTCTTCAGGAAAATGCTTAATAGCAAAAAGAGTTATCATATTCCAGGCACGAAATTGTGATATTTTTGGAGAAAAATGATGTCGGCTTCTGTTGAAACTCCAAGTTTTTGCTTTCCTATCGTCATTTTCGAATAATATATGACAAAGTAAAACCCTGGGCATCTTTCCCCACTCTCCCCTACATAAGAAGGAAATAATAGAATACATAATCTTGAGTAAATAGTTATGTATGCTACTTGCCAATTTCATCAAAGGTAGTTATGAATGTGTGTTTGTTTGAGGTCTTTGTAAAACAGTCATCTTGTTGGAACACACCCCACTGTATTGGTCTGTTGACACATTGTGATGTGTTTGCTCTGACAGGTGGCAGCCCAGACAGGTCACAAAGTCACCCTGGTTGATGTCAAGGATGAGTTCTTGGACAAGTCCAGAGCCAACATTGAAGGCAGCATCAAGAGGGTCGCAAAGAAGATGTTTAAGGTATGAAACATTTGTCTCAGATGATTGGTCATTACATGGCTCATGAGCATGAATAAGAGTTTTGAGGTTAGTTTTATTTCACTTAGAGGCTACAGGAATAAAATGTAGAATGCAATAGGTATGTGTGGCTAAAATAAACTTTCATTTTTCTTTACTGGCAGCTTTAATTTTGATGTTTTTTTTCTTCTTAGAACATTTCACCATTTACCAATCAGCCTATGAATAGGTTGTACCCAACTTTTCACTTGATAGAATGGTAACACACAGATTAGCAAAAGTTACCTTTTAGAATTTTGCATAAAGGTGCCTAACTGAAAAGCTTCCTGCTTTGAAAGCTATTAATGTATACACATTTTTATTTACCAATGCCAAAATATATGTCTTCATTGCCTTTCCTAACACCCCTGCCCAATTACTTTTGGGTGCAAAATGGCCATTGTTGTTGGAGTGCTCTAAAGTCCCAATAAAGAAACAAATGCCTGATCATTTTTTCCCATCGAATCAGGAGGATGCCGACGCAGCCGGGAAGTTCATCTCGGAGTCGCTGGCTCGTATCACCATGACAACGGACACGCTGGAGGCCGTCCGCGACACCGATCTCGTCATCGAAGCCATCGTCGAAAACCTGGGCGTCAAGCAGAAACTCTTCAAAGCCATCGACGAGGTGAGCTGGCACGTATCGATCGGATACGATCAATATACGATATATATCGGATGCGTGACCGGAGACGTAGGGTCGTAGAATACCCGTAAAATACTGGGGCTGTATTTCAGTGGGAAATGTCTAGAAAAATTGAAGGAAGGAAAAGCTAAAAATTGAATTCCCATAGGTCCAAATCCAAATAATGTCTAAAATACCGTTTTTTTCGTTTTCCGTCAACCCGTTTCTCGTTCAGCTTTTCCCCCACATGAATTAGTGCAGTTTCAATCATTCCAGCAGAGAACAGCAGAGCCCCGGCAGCAGGCCTTGTGGCCTTGAACCGGGCGACGGGGGCGCGTATGACTGTGCACATTCTGTACCCGTCCAGGGGCACGTCGAGCGTGGTTTGTGTCAATGACGCCCCTTTGTTTACCACTGACGTTTGACGGCAGTGACCTTTGGATACATTTTGGAGTAATGGCCCTTGACGAGGATATGGAAACAAAGCCTTGTCCGATTGTGTGTTTGCGCTAATTTTTTTCAGTCGGAGCTGGGTACTTCGTGCCTAACGTGCAGCTCTTGCATTTAAGAAGTGGTCGGTATCGATCGATATGTTGTTAATCTCTATCAACCGGTGTCCGTGCCGTTACACAACTCACAAGTCCGACAAGTATGGGCTTTAAAATAAAACACGAAAATGGAAAAACACGTAAACGTAACCGATGACCCTATCTACTGATAAACTTCGTGAAATGATGTCAACCAATTGGTTACATCTATCGTAGTTGTGCGACAGAACGTTATAAGTGTTATTGACGGTAAGCGTTGACGGCTCGCGAAATCAAATCACCTTATATTCTATGAGTTATCGCATTCTCGTCATTTTTTGCTGGCTCGCTCTTACTGTATTTAACATAGCATTCTGTAAAAAGAGTCTGTATATCCAATTCCAAACACTAACAGGATATCTCACGTCTTTCACATCCGCAGGTCGCGCCGCAGAAGACCATCTTCACGTCCAACACGTCCTCGATCCCGATCACCCAGATCGCTGAGCCGACCTCGCGCAAGGACCGGTTTGGTGGTCTGCACTTCTTCAACCCGGTGCCGGTCATGAAACTGCTGGAGGTGAGTGGTACAATCCGATTGGTGAGGTATGTGTTTACGTCAAACAAGAGCATCAGCCGAGGAAGCTACATTTTGCGAACTGTGTTTTGAGGTTATCGGTGGAGCCAACAAATAACTAAATGCACTTACTTACTGTTCTCAGTGTGTTTGGAATATGTGCATTTGAGACGTATATTTATATTTTAACTTGTAATTCTATTCTGACGAAGGTTGTTTGGAACCGAAACTTCAATAAAAGTAAGTGCATTTAGTTATTTGTTGGCTCCACCGATAACCTCATAACACAAATATGTCCTTAAATAATCAGCATTCTGCGAACTAACGGAGGTATGACGTGAAAAATGAGGGAAAGGAGGTAACAGCAAACAGCAAATTAGCTGAAGTTTTGTTTCGTTTGTTAATATTGTTTTTGAATCTGTCATTATTGCTGAAAGTTATACTGAACCAAGCAAAAATTAGCTGAACAAATACGGTAGCGGTGTGTGCAGGATGTAGGGCATACAAATTTAAACATTCTGTTGAGCTGTATCTAACTTCAATCTTCGATATATTCCGCGCGTATAGAGTGCTGGTCAAAACCCAAACCACACACAAAGCCACGACGGTACCTCACCCCCAACCCCACATACCTCCCCCAGGTGATTTCAATCCAGCAAACCTCAGAGGAGACCTTCAACCGAATGCTAGAGTTTGGCGCCGCCATGGGAAAAACCACTGTTCGGTGCAAGGATACGCCTGGCTTTGTGGTGAACCGACTGCTCGTGCCGAATCTGCTGGAGGCTATCCGCATGCTGGAGCGAGGTGAGATAGTGGCCCGGTGGCTGGTGGGGTACGATAAGTGACGATACTTTGCTAGAAGGTTGAGGAAGAGGTTGATGGTGGGGTGTGAGCTGTGATAATTCGGTAGGTTAGGAGTTTGAGAGGGAGGTGTTGAGAGATTATGCGAATTAGGTTATTTGATAGGTGATACGTGCTGCTTTTTCACTGTACATAAATCTCCAGCGGCATGTTAGGTGCTCAATGCTCATCTTTTTTCATCCTAAAAGGGTCGCCATTCTGACATGTCCTGCGCCAAGACCCGATGAATTGGATGTGCGAGCTAATTAATAGTAGGTCCTTCCTCTGTGCCGTCCGACTGGCATTGATACAAAGGACGTGGACCCTGACCTTCACCCCTCAGTTGCTCGGAGCCCATGCCTCTTGATGATTAATCTTTTCGACGTCTCCTTGCTGTAGTTGATGTATATTCGACAATCGACTCCTAGCGTACCCACTCATTCTACCTCCCTCTCCCCCCCCCCACCCCCTGTTCGTCTCCAGGTGACGCCACGGCGCGTGATATCGACACGGCCATGAAACTGGGCGCCTCCTACCCCATGGGTCCGTTCGAGCTGGCGGATTATGTGGGTCTCGACACCACCAAGTTCATCATCGACGGTAGGTGGCGCGACGGTCGACGGATTCAACGGGGACGTTTGACCGCAGGGTGTTGTTTTATTGACAAAACACTATTCGTTGTGTAACGTTGGCATGTCGCCGGGTTGGGACAGAATAGGAATGGGGAACAGAAGGAATAATTAGAAAGGAATTTGTGCATGGAAACTTCGTGTGACAGTCACTGCTTGCTCTTTTTATCTTACGTATGTGATTGCTCGTCGTAAAACGATAGCAAAGCTGCACTTGACTTGAAATCGTGATATAAAATGTGCACGTTACAGGTTACATAATGCGTCAGACATGCCACTGACCTGATTAGAGTTGCAAAATTTTCCTACCGCACTACCGGCATGCCGGTAATTTTTCACTACCGCAGGTTTTTTCGTGGTATCTGGCATGTCTTGCCGGTAGCATGCCGGTATTGTTGATTTCGCACAAAAAATATATCAGCATATGATTCAAACTTTGGACACTAAGAGGCTATTAAATTGTAATAACAGCAATCTTAGCCACTGCAAAATACATTTAATTGCCAAAATGTGGCATCTCATGTAGGGGTAAGCCAAAATCAAGAATGCAGGTTTTTTAGTAGGTATGTCGGTAATTTGGTGGTGTTTTTGCTTGGGGCGTGGTAACATGCCGGTATCCCAGAAAATTTTTGTGGTGCCGGTAGCAGCCCATTGGGTAAACTTTGCAACTCTAGACCTGATGTGTACTTCAGTCATGTCTTGTTCAGCTGAACAGTCAGGTATCCACGTAATATATACATCGGGTATAACATAAATATTTAAGCAAAATTTTCACTCGAATCAGCCCTCTGCGTTAGTGTCGATCTACCGTGATTTCTTACAACATCCTCCCTCCCTTTCCCCCAGGCTGGCACGAGTCGTACCCGGAGAACCCTCTGTTCGCCCCGAGTCCGCTGCTCAACAAACTGGTGTCCGAGGGCAAGCTGGGCCGCAAGACCGGCGAGGGATTCTACCAGTACAAGAAGTAGGAGGGCGACCGGACATTCGCCAGGACGGGTGAGTGTGAGAGTCGGGAATGCGGGATGAAGAGCTGAATTCTTGAACAGTCGGGCACAAAAATATGAGCTGGAGAGCTAAGAATGAGAGTTGGTTAATCATTGGCTTAGCGGTTGAATTATTATTCGTTTGTCATTGGAGTGTCTCATCGAATAATGAAAATATTTGAAATATTAATTTTTTAAGAATGATGTATCATGCGCGAAACCAAGTTCTCAAACGATGCATGGTGGACCTTACGGTCTGTTTTTGCACGTGAAATGGTGCGTGCTTACGTAAGATGTAAGCTTCTTATCGTGCGATGTATGCGTATAATGCAATGCACACGTTTCCGTCCATTTATGCTAAACTTAGACTGGTTTTTCTACCAATCGTAATCCTTGCATCAAAAGACGGTCTTTTGATTCAGGTTATCTGCTCGTGATAATTTGCTCTTCATATTAATCTGCTCTTCGAAATGCTGACGCGGTAATTATAAAAAAATCCTAAGATTCCGTTGCTCTAGCACTAATCTCCTTGTGCTCCTCCAGGGATCATCAACATTTCGGCCCCAATGACGTAATATGGAGGCCGTCCTGACGTCACTGGGATGCGATCGGCAGCAAGAAGGCAACAACGCATCGCACCACCAGTCCATCACTGGATTAAACAATGCAATTGTGGCTGGGATGAAAGTGGCGTACTCTGTATGTGAATTTTTGACGTGATGTATTTTTGTCGAGGATGGTACAATTTGTGGAAGTTTATCAAGGAGCAGTGAACTGGATTACATGCCATGTATTATACCGATTTATTGAATTGTGAGGGCTGTAGCGGTAATTGAATAAACTATACGCCTAATGATTGTGTTTCTTAGCGGTATTAACCTTCATATCGATGATATACGACATAACTATAATACGGATTATGTCCTGCGGGCGGTAGTTAACAAGTTCAGTTCAGCTCGAGCCCACGAAACTTTGATCCTGGGAAGGGTGGACTCATGCACTCATGTTGTGGGTCATTCCAGAATCCAGAAATAAGCGCATCTCAGGCTTACCATTTCAGAAAGAAATATCCGATAGAAAACATTACACATGTGATCAAATTCATACGTTGACAATCACCCCAACAAACAACAGCAGCATCTCTGCATCCGCTCTTTCTCCCCACTCTCTTTTCCCCTTTCTCTTTCTCCCCACGCTCTTTCCTCGATCGTCATCAGCGCACGGTCCACGCTGCATTGAAATGTAGCAATGTTGATGTAACATCGCATGCTTTTGATTTACTCCGGCGTGCAGCTTTTCATCGTTTCCTGTGTTTGCCGCTCTCCTTTCGGTTTTCGCGACCCATCATCGTGCCGAGTGCCTGCCAGCGGATGTTTTTTACCTGTCTTTTATAGCAGCTTCTATTAGCGGACTTGGGCCGGAAGCTCACTTCCATAACACAGTCACACGAGTCCAAATTCGAACTGTATCGATAAATGGCTGAATGATGTTTACAGTTTATTTGCGAACTGTGGTGCGTCAGGCTGTGCTTTTCATTACGTTGTTTTGCTTTGCAACTGGGTAGCGGGGTCATATTCTGAATTGCAAAGGGGCTACTGTTTTTGCGCGAGAGGGGATGCGGAGGGGGGGGGGGTTGCATAATCATTTGAGCAGACGATAGGGCTAGTCGTCTGCTATGAACTTTTTTCAAAACTTTTCGTAGCCAATCTCCAAAATCAACGTAGTTACCGATTATTGATCTATGGGTTTTTACCTTTCACGAATGAATAATGGTAATAAGGTTAAGCTACCACTAAAATGGTAAAAAAAGGTCCAATAGCTAGGTAAAGTGAGCTTATCGCTGATCAGGGCTGCGGCCTGCGGAACCGATGGATATTCGGTGACTCCGACTCCCCGAATTCCAAAAACAAACTCTGACTCCGGGCAGAAATGTCGACTCCGACCGACTCCGGCTCTGCAACCCTGTCGCTGATATTGCCTTTGCATGTTTTATGTTTATCATCTATGGCTGAAACAGAGGACCTCTGTGGCTCACAAATGTCGCCACATAACAATACCCCGAGTGAATCAGTTCAATGTCACAGCCAATCAGCGCGCAGATCAGCCGTACCCTTTGTGACGTCACAGAGGGGCATACTGCCGAGGGGACAGACGAGACAACCAGGCAAACTGCAGCGTTGTGGGGCTGTCATTGTACTGCCAGGTGTCAGCCATTACACACCATCTCTCCGACTCCAATTCTCCATTCAGCATCAACATCTCTTCGACTTCACCTCCTCCAACGTCACGATCTCTGCGACGTCGAACCGGTCGAAGATGAAGCTGTCCACACTGTTGATGGTGATGCTGGCGGCCTGTCTGCTGCTGCAGGCGACAGTTGTCGACGGACATTCTCAGGGACAGGACCCTGATTGTGATGACAGCGAGAGCTGGGATGACGTGATGGCTGGCTGTACCAGCACGGAGACCGAGACTCAAGGAACTACAACCCCGGTCAGTGGCTTATAGGCAGAAGGACTCTGATTGCTCATTTTCATTCAGTTTTGGCACAGATTTTGATAGCTTAGCGTCTCCAGTATCTTGATGAAAGGTTTCCGAGGCCTAGAAAGTTGAATTAGAAATCCCTGAAACACAGGTCACATAACATTATCACTTTATTTACTATGGCTTGTTCTGTTCACAGAACCTTGGCGGTGGTCGTAAATAGCGGGACAAGACTCAGCCAGACGACTGCAGGGCTAGCAAAACTCGCGGGGACCGTTCAGTCGACCGGCGGACAGCGGAGCCGATGGGGCATCGGATCCAAGCTTGTTCCAGTCCACGGTTCAACACAGACTGAGCTTGCGAACAAAGGAGACTCCCACAAATAATAATGGCTTAGCTGTTGTCTTTAAAGCCTGCTGAAAATGCTTGTCGCTTCAGCCGTCGCTTGATGATGTTGGAATGACATGAAGTGAACATGTTGCTCTAAAAGGGTCACATAAAATTTCAATTGATGGAGTAGGTGTTTACGGTAAATACACGTCGTATCACTCTGTAGAACAGTCAGTACACTTGATTTTTCTATCGGAATATCTTCAGTTCATTGGCATTCGTAAAATGTTGATATTTGAAATACCGCTTGTCACACCTTGCACGAATACCTACGTCCGGCCCGCCCAAAGAGCCTTCTTCCAAGAACGGCGGTAGTGAGACACACCGATTGTCGGTGAATAGGCGTGGTATGGCTCGAGCCCTATAATAAAAAAGTTCCTTATTTTAACGATAAGTAGCATGGCTAGGGCACGGCTTGCTTTTCTAAAATTAACAATAACAGTTCCACCAATAATTTTCGGAAAGTAACGCCCGTGCACCGGTAGGTACCGCTTTCGTGCCAAGGTGTGCGTTACAACCGAAGGTCTGTATTCTTTATTTAAAAACGTGTTTCACTAGAATTGTCTTTTTTCTATTGAAAAGCAAACCTGAGTTCCCAGACAATTTTGCAAAAGCTGCCTGAGATAAAATGTCCTTTTCTAGAAATATAAAGGGGGGATAGGCACTCATCCCGAACACCCTCAAAACGGACTGACCAAAAGCATTGACAAATGTTGGTGGCACTGATCATGTCATGCATACCTATAGGGAGCTGAAAACTGAACTCGGCACATTTTTGGGTGCTAAACGCCTGCTAGGGTACTTCGGTGCCAATGTTAGCTTAGCACCCGGACTCTTAACCCTCGCCCCGTTGGGGGGGGGCCATTTTGGCCCCCCCCTGTGGTTTTTCCTGAATAGCAAGAAAACGGCGGCGCGCAGCGCCGCCAAATTTTCAGTACCTTTCCGGGCATCAATTTGACACCTTCACACCAAATTTCAAGTCTTAGGTCACCTTAGGTCAGGAGTTATTGAGGTCAAACTGAGGTCATGTTCGAGCAAAAATGAGCAAAAAACATGCAATCTTGAAACGCTCACCAAATCTACAGTTATCAAGCAATTTCAAAGTTCTTTATATGGTCTAATAGACAAAAAGCGGCGCTACAAAACTGCTATCTCGGATTTTCAAAATTTTGGGTTTTTGACCCAAAAAATTTCAAAAAATTGATTTTTTTAGAAAAACTAAAAAAAAATCCAAAATTTTTCCGAATTTCGAAAAAAACCGGAATATATGTGATAGTCCCTGCGCTCTTCTATATACATACCAAATTTCAGATCGATATCTCGTATTTTGGCCAAGTTATAGCGAAAAAACTGTCCAAAAATGATGACGTCAAATTTTTGAACTCAATTTTTAGCGATTCTAGACCTCGTACGGCAAAACAAAGACCACCATTGAACTCCCCGTGACGAGCTGCATCGATTCGATACCCATTTTATGCAAAAATATCAACTTTGAAATTTGACCTTATTTGACCTGACCTTGACCTGACCTTGACCTGACCTTGACCAAAACGTGACCTAAGCTGGCCCCAAAGGCTGCCTGACCCACATAATCGCATTTGTCATGTAAAATGGACCATAAAACATGTATCACACGACACTTTCATATTGTGACCCCCCAGTGACCTGACCTCAGTGACCTGACCTGGTATCAGTGACCTCAACTAGCAAAATATGTGTTTGAAGAACATTTCCCCATCGATGATTTTCAATGAAATGCATTTTACTCGATTTTACAACGCATTTCTTGAAATGCCTGTAAACGGTGAAAATTGGACCTTTGACCTGACCTGTGACGTCATCGGTTTGACCTAGGTCAAAAAAATTGGGTCACAAGGTAGTTCCCTGATAGGGCTATCCAACACCGTTTGCCGCTTGTCGCTACGTTGCGTGGTTCTCGAGATCTTAGGGGGGGGGGGGCCAAAATGGCCCCCCCCCAACGGGGCGCGTTGCTCGGTAGAGCCCAACGGGGCGCGGGTTAATAAAGCACTCTTTGGGTGCGTGAATTAAGCACCAATAAAGTTTTAAGCACCACAACGATGCTAATGCTAGCTCCTATAGCTCTGAACGAAGCACTATTTGGAGTGTAAATTAACCACCAAAACGGTGCTAATGCTAGCATCTAGGACTTAAGTAAGCGCTATTTGGGGCATAAATAAAGCACCAACAGGGTACTGAAAATTGAACTCTGACTTATGACCCAAAGGGTGCTAATCTTTTTAAACAGTGTAGGTAGGTACTTTTTGGACGGCATTTACGTTTTGTGCGGTTGCGGGATGGATGTTGTCAGATGTGGCCATTTATTCTGTACTAATACCAAGACGTTTCAAGTATTACGTATACTATTTGTTTTCACTGTAACAGGTCAACATGTTTGATATGACAACTTCATCATGAAGCTAATATTTCGGCACCAACAATGGGTAAAGGCTTTTTTTCTCTAGAAAAAGCCTTACTTAAAAAAAACTTATTTTATCCAAGGCTATACCTAGAACTATTTTATATATTGATAAAATCCTTTCTTTGGTGATTTATGTCGCTGGCTACGAAATGACATTTTATGATTTGACGAATTGACATTTTATGAAATGTTCATAATTTTATTTCGTTCCTGTTGTTACTTTTTCGATCATTTCTGTTTTTCATGAAGTAAGAAGCATGATGTTATGTTGAACAAAATAAATAGACAATGTCTCTTGCGACTTCTGAGTCCGTCTTTTCCTTTGTCTAAAAATTGTCGAAATGAAAGAGCATGGTCCTAACACCAACATAACCTCACCTGACATAACAGCTAACCGAACTTAACTAAATTCAAGCTTACCACTCTTGACCAATTTTTACTGGATTTCAATAAACGCGCTCACGCAGTGCCTCGGCAATCAGCTGACGGGCGGCCAAGCATGGGGAAGCTGCGCGGGCGGGAAACCCGACCCAGTTGTGACTGGAATGGTGTGTGCGTGGGGTGTAGCGGTCAGGTCATGACGGTTTGCGAGTTTTGGCGCCCGTTGGTGCTACATATTTCGTTTGTGGAAAAGTGTTTTGTGTGGTTGTTGAAACTGGAACATCGCAGAACGGGACGGCCGACAGCAATAAGTGACATATTTTGTGCGATTTTCGACTTCACATGTTCGGACTGACGTTTGCTAGATCGAGCGGTGAGTTATCGATCTGTCACTTGTCAGTGAGTGGGCTGAATGAGTTCAAGTTGGGTGAGTGAGAGGTAAGTTGTGAGAGTGAGTTGTTATGAGTGTCGATCGGTGGGGAGCCGTGGAGATTGGTCAAGGGTCGACACTGCTCGTCTCTGGAACTTCTACGAGGATACGGTCGCCTTGGATCCTGAAAGGTCAGTCCGCTCCAGATTCAGACTGGAGCGGTGATTCAATTTCCTATCGTGTTATGTGTGGCTTATGGCGGATCCAGATGGGTTTGCATTCTGTTACTTTTGAAATTGCTTGCAGAAAATGATGCGTTGTTGTGAGAAATATCCGTCACGGACAAATTTACGTTCATTTTCAATTCTTCAGCGGCTGACAGACGAGAAGTAAGCTTTTGATACATTCAACATGTTTTGGTTTTAATCGAGATTTAAATACGTAACTATCCACGGAAACTAAAATGATAGGGGCATGGCTGCAAAGTAATTTCGTTGCATATTATCTTCAACTTACCACTCGGGAAGACTGCCAATTTTTAGATGATAATACGATAGAATTTCAATTTCAAAGATTTAGTAACACGCATAACTTCCCATTTCCCAAACCCCACAAGCTCCGCCCACCGTCTTATCCCACTGGATCCGTCTGTTAGGAATGTGCCTCGCTGTAGCCGTATTTGTCATGTCGAACCGTGCAAACTGTTGTGGATCGTCGCCATTCGTGCTTCCGGCTGCCGGCACTGCTTTGGCTGGGCTGGCTGCCCGTCTGTCTGCGGGGGCACCATCTCGCCGGAGTCGGGTCAGTCAGCTGACTGCTGACCCGGGGTCAGCAGTGGTGACCTCCATCAAGGTCAACTGGTACGCAAACTGGCATCAGTGCACCATGTAACGTCAGCAGGGTAGGAGAGGCTACCGAGGGCTGCCCCCCGGGGGGGGGGGGGTAGGCTAACCAATGGCTGACCCGCCGCGCTGACCGGTGCCCCTGGGAGGTAGACTGACCCAGAACTGACGCGCTGTTGCTAGGCGGTGAACAGCGCGGCGGTCGGGCCGGGGGGAGGGGAAGGGGTGGAGGGGAGGCGTCGCCACTCGGGCTCGGGGAGCGGACGACAAACTGTGCCAGCTCACGTATCGACAGTGAATTTATACTTATTATTTTCGTAATAGCGACGGTGCGTGAGTGTATTATCTATCAATACATAACATCTTTTTAGACCCTAGGCTAACTTTAGGCTAAATGCATACTTGCTATCACTCGACGCACTATTTTATTGGCTTTCAGTCATAAAATTAGCTCACCATTTTGAAATCGGGAGCTGTGTGCAGAAATGCATGCTTACCACGTATTCTAAGTGGGGTAATAGCGATATGAACACATTGGACAGTGGACATGACAGGCGTGCCGCCATTGCCATACCCCGTCCCCCCCCCCACATCTTGCTTTTGAGTTGTGAAGATCCCTACCCAAAACGTAATCGTGCAAACAAGTAAAAGCCGGCCCGCGGGCGTGCTCTGTATGTCATCGCCCGTTTGCGAGGCGTTTACCTGCTACTTCTCAAAGTATAACTACAGTTCTACAGTTTTAGGCATTATGAACAAAACCACAGTATGTTTACGTAAATATCGCGATTCGCGGGCATTGGATGACGGGTTGGGACTTGGGGGATGGGGCGGAGGCACAATACGTAAACAAACGGGACCTAAAGCGCGGTCTGTGCTTGCTTGGCATCAGTCTGTCGGATGGAATGCGTCGGTTGAAGGTGGTGAACACTGAGCTGTGAAACTGGCGACTCGAGACTGAAGGGAAGGGGTCCGGGTGGGACGGTCATCATGGTGATATTATATTTGAGGAGGGCCATGGATAAAGTGATGGACTGATCGAGTGGCCAAGAAGTGATAGACGGAGTGATGAGTTGTGATAGCTGATGTGATACTG